GGAGGTCGCAACTGACCTGGCGCTGTTCTGACCCTGGCGCGACTGACCATAGAGGTCGCAACTGACCTGGCGCTGTTGTTCTGACCTGGCGCGACTGACCATAGAGGTCGCAACTGACCTGGCGCAGGCGCAAGGAGTCCCCGAGTACGCAGCGGCACGAGCGGTGTCGACATATGCTGCCACCATGCAGCAGGCGGCTGGAAGGAGGTCACAGACCTTAGCTGTCACGACTGACCTGGCGCAGGCGCAGCGAGGTCTCCAAGTACAGCAGCGGCACGAGCGGGGTCGACATAGGCCGCCAACCTGCAGCAGCGCTTGTCTCGAAGCGCTCGATGACATTGTGAGCACCGTGTGACCGTGTCCAGCCTCTCCCCTTGCAGGCGCCTACAGGGAGGCCACAACCTCACAGACACTCCAGTCCCTGGTGTCACAACTGACCTGGCGCAATCGCAGAGAGTCGCCCAGAACAGCAGCCGTCACGAGCGGGTCGACGTATGCATCGACCTGCAGCAGCGGCTTGTCTCGGAAGCGCTCGATGAACATTGTGAGCACCGTGTCCACCTCGCCCCGCACGTCCATGGGGACCCGCTCCAGCTGCATCTTCTGCGCCTGGTGGGGGGGGGGGAACGGGAAGGAATGGGGGAGGTCCGGAAAGGGAAGGGCAGGGGGGTCAACATGGTGAGAACCGTGTCCACCTCAACGCACGTCCATGGGGACCCGCTCCAGCTGCATCTTCTGCGCCTGGTGGGGGGAAGAGGAAGCATGCGAGGGGGAGGGAAAAAGTAGGGGAAATTGGAGGAGGGAAAGATAAGGGAGGCCAAAACACCTCCTGTACACGTCTATCAGGAGCAGCCACGTGAAGTGAGGGTGTTTTTGAGACGTCTCAAAAACACCCTCACTTCACGGGAAAGATAAGGGAGGGAGGCCAAAACACCTCCCCTACACGTCTATCAGGAGCAGCTTACCTCAATCTTGAAGAGGTCGAGGATGTCGTTGATGAGCTCCAGCAGCGCCCGCCTGCTGGTGCTTGCGCTGAGTGCACACTTGCGTATCTCTCTACGTGCACCGCTCTCCACCGCTCTCCACCGCTCTCCACCTCTCACCACCTCTGCAACTCACCTCAATCTTGGAGAGGTCGAGGATGTCGTTGATCAGCTCCAGCAGCGCCCGCCCGCTGGTGCGAGCCGTCTCGACATAATCCAGCTGGGTGATCGTGAGGGGCGTCTCCAGCAGCAGGTTCAGCATGCCTGGCACGGGGTGGGATGGGAGGGGGGAGTGGAGGGGAGCATACATGAGCATGTGTGCATGAGTGCCCGCCCACTGGTGCGCGCCGTCTCGACGTAGTCCAACCTGCGTTATCGTGAGCGGCGTCTCCAGCAGCAGGTTCAGCAATGCCTGGCATGGGGTGGCGGAGGCAGGGTAAAGCATAGGCATCATGCATGTGATGTGACTGAACGGTTGGGGACGCGGACGCCTAACAGGCCCATGTCAACTCCTCATAGTGCAGCAGCTGGGTTATCGTGAGGGGGGTAGCAGAGTCTCCAGCAGCAGGTTCAGCATGCCTGGCATCGGGTGGTGGAGAGGGTGGTAGTACGTATGGTATGAACACATGTGGCGGAGGGGGGCAATCACGAACGCATGTGCCTGACTGAACCCAGAACATTCACCCGGACCTCCCACCCCACCCACCCCACCTACGCCAACCACGCACCTATGACGCCGTTCATGGGCGTGCGCAGCTCGTGGGACATGGTGGCCAGGAACGTCCCCTTGGCCTTGCTGGCGCGCTCAGCCACGTTGCGGGCGGCCTTCATTTTGTCCTTTAGCAGCTCCATGCGGTGGAAGTCGTGCTCCAATTGGTGCACGTGCGAGCTCGCCACCCACCACACGTACCCCAGTAGGGACATGACTGTGATTATAACGAGCGCCCAGCCTAAAGAGGAGTAGGGGAAGACGTAGTAGTCTAGGTATCTGGGGGAATGGGGGAGGGGAATGGGGGGATGCGGGGGAGGGGAATGGGGGGGGTGGGGAGAGAGGAATGGGGGGAGACGCGGAGAGAAATGGAGGGAGAGGAATGGGGGAAGGCCTTCATTTTGTCCTTTAGCAGCTCCATGCGGTGGAAGTCGTGCTCCAATTGGTGCACGTGCGAGCTCGCCACCCACCACACGTAGCCAAGAAGCGACATCACTGTGACTAAAACGAGCGCCCAGCCTAAAGAGGAGCAGGGGAACACGTAATAGTCTAGGTACCTGGGGGGAGGGGGGAGGGGAATGGGGGGAGGGGGAAGAGGAATGATGAGGGAATGGGAGAATTGGGGAGAGGAATTAAGGGAGATGGGGAGGGGAATTGGGGGAGGCAGGTACGGATCCCCCAGGCCCATCGTGGTGACATGCCAGATCCTATGCCCGTTCCATGTGATTGAAGAAGTGTTTTGAGACATCTCAAAACAGATCCTATCCCCGTTCCACCAGGTCACCACGATGGGCATGTCATCGTGGTGACATGCCAGATCCTATGCCCGTTCCACTCTCACGCCATTCCCACCCAATCCACACCCAATCCGCGTCCAGCCCACGGCCACTCCACCACCCACCTGCATCTGATCTCGTATAGCCGGTACGGGTCACCCAGGTCCATGGTGGTGACGTAGTTGTAGCGGTCGATCTGTCCCTTGCCCACCCAGTGCAGTGCACCATTCAGCCATCCACACCATACCTGCATCTGATCTCGTACAGCCGGTACGGGTCACCCAGGTCCATGGTGGTGACGTAGTTGTATTTATCGCTCTGCCCCTTTGCCAGCCGGTGGTCTCGAGGTTCATACATCAGCCGCTCCACACTGCCACGCCCCAAGACCTCCCCCGGCACTGCCACCGTCTCGCCAAACCCAACCATCTGCCCGCTGCCCCCACTATCGCTGCTGCTGTTGCTGCTGCTGCTGCTGCCGCCGTCGGTTCTTTGAACCGCCGTGGTGTTGCTGCCACCACTAGCTGAAGTCATGCTGCTGGTGGTGCCGCTGGTGCTGCCGCTGCTACTGCCGTTGCCGCTGCTGCCGTTCCCCCGGGCAGCAGTGTTGGCCCCGTTATAATACCCGGTTTGAGCCTCGCTGCTCCCATTGGTCACATCGTACACTCTCACAAACATCGGCATGTGCTCCCGGTGCAGCGACTTTATCAACGGCTCAAAATCAATCGCAGCCGACATGAACCCTCGGCACTTGGATCGGAACTCAGCCACACCCGCCCCTGCATCCGGGGGTGTGCGCTCCTCATACACCGGGTACACGCGTAACATGACGGTGTTTAGGTCCCGGTTACCGCTTGATTCCGATGCTACAGTGCTGCCAGACGCGCCCGTGCTGCTGCTGCTGCCGACGTTGATGCCACCCAGCGAGTCGACTGCCATCTGCAGCGGCGGGGTGAGTGCTCCCATAATTCCCTGGTCCCGCGCTCTAATCACTGCCTCCCTGTTGGCTGGGAACGCGTCTGAAGAGGAGGGAGGGGGGGGGCGGGGAGGGGGAGAGGGGCGGAGGGAGGGGGAAGATGAGAAGGCAAGAGCAGAGAGAGTGTTGCGAGAGCATGTTGGTAAGCATGTTGGGACGTTGATGGCCCCTAGTGAGTCGACTGCCATCTGCAGCGGCGGGGTGAGTGCTCCCATGATTCCCTAGTCCCACGCTCGAATGACCGCGCCTCCCTGTTGGCTGGGAAGGCGTCTGGAGGGAGAAGGGGGAAAGCAGAAGGGAGAAGGGAGTGGGACCCCCAGTGTGGTTGAGGGTGCAGCGTGCATGTTGGTAGGTAGTACTGCCCCCAGTGGATTTTTAAGTCGACTTAAAAAGGGAGAAGGGAGTGTTGAGGGTGCAGCGTGCATGTTGGTAGGTAGTACTACCCCCCAGTGAGTCGAGTCGACTGCCATTTGCAGTGGCGGGGTGAGTGCTCCTGTAATGCCCTGATCCCGCACTCTAATCACTGCCTCCCTGTTCGCTGGGAATGCGTCTGGAAGAAAAGGAGAGGAGGGTAGGAGGAGGAGGGAGAGGGAAGAGCTTTTGTCAACGCAACCCAGATTCACCCCACAGCACGACCTCATGCTGGCACGTTGACTTTTGAGTCGACTCAAAAGATTCACCCCACAGCACGACCTCATGCTGGCACGTTGACTTTTGAGTCGACTCAAAAGATTCACCCCACAGCACGACCTCATGCTGGCACGTTGACTTTTGAGTCGACTCAAAAGATTCACCCCACAGCACGACCTCATGCTGGCACGTTGACTTTTGAGTCGACTCAAAAGATTCACCCCACAGCACGACCTCATGCTGGCACGTTGACTTTTGAGTCGACTCAAAAGATTCACCCCACAGCACGACCTCATGCTGGCACGTTGACTTTTGAGTCGACTCAAAAGATTCACCCCACAGCACGACCTCATGCTGGCACGTTGACTTTTGAGTCGACTCAAAAGATTCACCCCACAGCACGACCTCATGCTGGCACGTGGTGTGGAGAAAGAGTGCATATTTATACTCAGAGAATCACACTCACAGCACTCACTTCTAACTCACCCCAGAGCATGTCTTGTCCGATGAGTGGAAGAGAGGACGTGGTGTAGAGGATGGGGGGTGCGTAGTCCGACTGCAAGGCTCAACCCGCTCACCCCACTCTCACCTAAAATCACCGGCTCAACCAGACTAGGAAACTCACCCCAGAGCATGTCCTGTCCAATGAGTGGAAGAGAGGACGTGGTGTAGAGGATGGGTGCGTAGTCCGACTGCTGCCCCGCACATGCCATGTCGTGCCTGGGGACGCGGAGAGGAGGGGGAAGGGGGAGGGAGGGAGGGAGAGAGGGAATTGCAATACGGGAGAAGAAGGGCGGGAGTTGAGGAAGGGAAGAAGAACGGGCGAAGGAGTGACTGGGGAAGAGGAGGGAGACCATACACAACACACAGAGAACCACACACCCGAATAGCACTACACACGCCGACCACGCATGAAGAGCAAAGCTGCATGCGCTTGCAAAGCAGCACACACAGATGGAAAGCACCGAGGTGACTTTTGAGGTGACTTTTGAGTCGACTTTTGAGTCGACTCAAAAGTCACCAGATGCAGACGGATACTCACTTGATGCAGAAGCCGCCCCCCTGCGCCCTCTCATACGCCCCCCTCTCTGCCTGCGGCACACTAGCGGCAAACGAGACGTCCCTCAAACGCGGACGCGCGTACTCCGTGTCGTTGAGAAACCCCATGAACGTGGCCTGTCCAAGAGAGGGAGAGAGAGAGGGGGCGGGATAAGGGGCGGGTTAGTAACTGAGATGTATATCCCTTTTGCTATAACTCCCCGTGGATGTCTGTACTTTTCTGTTTGATCATACAAGGACCGCTTGAGAGAGAGGGGGGGGGGGGGGGGAGGGTGAGGAGGGGCCTTTTGAGGAGCCAAGCCACAAAGGACGCGTGTACTGCGTGTCGTTGAGAAACCCCATGAACGTGGCCTGTCCAAGAGAGGGAGAGAGAGAGGGGAGGGTGGGGGGGGGCTTTTGAGGAGCCACAAAGGACGCGCGTACTCCGTGTCGTTGAGAAACCCCATAAACGTGGCCTGGTGAGGGGGGAAAAGTGGGGAGGAAAAGGGCGGGGGGGGGGGGGGGGGGAGACAGGGGAGAGGCCAAGCCAAATGGGAAGAATGGTGCCACGGTGTGAGGAAGGAGGTCGTGCGTACTCCGTGTTGTTGAGAAAACCCCGTGCACGTGCCCTGTCCAAATGTGACGGTGGGACAAGGGGGACGAGGGAGTTGAAGGGGGTTGGGAGGTTTGTGCGCTGGTGATGGGGGAGTGGGGGAGAGGAGGAGTAGGAGAGGAAGCAAACGGTCGGGAGGAAGGGGGCGGGCGAGCTGCGCGCATCTGATTTGAACCAGCCTTTGAAGGTTTTTGAGTCGACTCAAAAACCGATTTGAACCAGCCTTTGAAGGTTCTTGAGTCGACTCAAAAACCGATTTGAACCAGCCTTTGAAGGTTTTTGAGTCGACTCAAAAAACGATTTGAACCAGCCTTTGAAGGTTTTTGAGTCGACTCAAAAACCGATTTGAACCAGCCTTCGAAGGTTTTTGAGTCGACTCAAAAACCGATTTGAACCAGCCTTCGAAGGTTTTTGAGTCGACTCAAAAACCGATTTGAACCAGCCTTTGAAGGTTTTTGAGTCGACTCAAAAACCGATTTGAACCAGCCTTTGAAGGTTTTTGAGTCGACTCAAAAACCGATTTGAACCAGCCTTCGAAGGTTTTTGAGTCGACTCAAAAACCGATTTGAACCAGCCTTCGAAGGTTTTTGAGTCGACTCAAAAACCGATTTGAACCAGCCTTTGAAGGTTTTTGAGTCGACTCAAAAACCGATTTGAACCAGCCTTTGAAGGTTTTTGAGTCGACTCAAAAACCGATTTGAACCAGCCTTTGAAGGTTTTTGAGTCGACTCAAAAACCGATTTGAACCAGCCTTCGAAGGTTTTTGAGTCGACTCAAAAACCGATTTGAACCAGCCTTCGAAGGTTTTTGAGTCGACTCAAAAACCGATTTGAACCAGCCTTTGAAGGTTTTTGAGTCGACTCAAAAACCGATTTGAACCAGCCTTCGAAGGTTTTTGAGTCGACTCAAAAACCGATTTGAACCAGCTTTTGAAGGTTTTTGAGTCGACTCAAAAACCGATTTGAACCAGCCTTTGAAGGTTTTTGAGTCGACTCAAAAACCGATTTGAACCAGCCTTTGAAGGTAGACCGTGGGAGGACGGAGGGAGGAGGACGGGGAGTATGCAATCACATCAACGCACTCCACCGTTTCAACTCAACTCATCCCACCGTTTCATCGCACTCCACTCGTTCAACCCACTTTACCGTGTCAACTCAACTCACCCTGTCGAGGGTGCCCGGAGGCTTGTTGTAGTGAAACGTGGTCATCAGATTGGCAAGCAGCCGAATCTGCACAGCGGCCAGAGGGAAAGAGAAAGCGCAGGAAATGAGCCGATGCTTGAGGCGTCTCTTGGATCTTCTCATCACGTGAAGCGAGGTTGTTTTTGAGACGTCTCAAAAGCGCAGGAAATGAGCCGATGCTTGAGGCGTCTCTTGCAGGGTGTTTATGAGAATTCTCAAAAACACCCTGCAGGAAATGAGCCGATGCTTGAGGCGTCTCTTGGATCTTCTCATCACACGGGGCCATCAGGAGACCGGAAGAGTCGTGGATAGTGGAAAAGGAGAAGGGGAGACGAGAGCAATGTTTGGAGTTGAGCTGGCCTCGCATGGTCCATGGTGTCTACAAAGCAGTCCTGCGTGGTTGGTGGTGTGTACAAAGCGGTGGTACCTGGTTGGAGGTGTCGGTGAAGTGGCCCTGCAGCAGCTTCTTGTACGCCTCGCACTCCACCACCAGCGCCACCTGTGCAGGAGAGCACGGGGACATCACAACAGCCTTGGCATGAAACGACGTGCGTTGCACACTGAGGTGCCTCGAACAGCCCCTTTTACGCCTCGCACTCCACCACCAGCGCCACCTGCTCACGCGGGCACTATGGGGAGAGCAAGGGGAGACCATGGGATGATCACGATAACCAATACATCAGTACACGTCCAATACACACTGAAAGAGTAGAGCGTAGGTGAGGCGAGGTGAGGTGAGGTGAGGTGAGGTGAGGTGGGGTGAGGTGAGGTGAGGTGAGGTGAGGTGAGGTGAGGTGGGGTGGGGTGAGGTGAGGTGAGGTGAGGTGAGGTGAGGTGAGGTGAGATGGGGTGCCTCTGGCAGCTTCTTATTGTATGGCTCGCTCGCACTCCATCCGCCTCCACAGCCACTGCTCACGACACGAGTTCTCGTGGGCGGGAGGCAGGCAGGCTCGGCACGACGTGCAAATGCATGTTGAGACAAGTTTTGCGGCGCCGCACGCCAGCAGTGATCTCTCACGAGCCTCGAAAGCGAATGCGCACTGCGCGACGGGACGCCGCCGTACATGACGCTCGTGTAGGAAGCTCTCGCACGTCGCGCTGAACCGCAGTTTGAGTCGACGAAATTGAGTCGACTAGAAAAATTGAGTCGACTTAAATGTCAGCTCCAGGATTGAGTCGATTCAAAAGCCGCCGTACCTGGCGCTCGTCTTGAAAGCTCTTATACGTCGCGCTGAACACGGCCGTAGCAGCCGCTAAAGTCACCAGCACCCACATCGCTATGCACACGTGGCGCCACATCATACTCATCCGCAGATACCGCTGCACGCTAAACACGTCGCCCACGTACTGCCACGTGGATCCATCCGGGCCCTCCCCGCGCCGGTGGCGAATGTAACGGTTGTTCCGCCGGTACCGCCTCCGCCAGGGAATCAGCGGCTCAGTTTCTGCTCCGCCTCTCCCCGCGGCGGGCGCAAGCAGACTCTTTCTGCCGCTTCCGACCGACCGGGGGCTGTGCTCGCCGCCGTCGGCGGACGGGGAGAGAATGTCTACCACTACCGTCGCGCTTCCGTTTTTTCGCGCCAATTCTCCCTCTCCGCAATTCCCGGGGGCCTTTTCCCCTTTTCCTCTCCATCGGCTTCGCAAGTATCCTATCATGGGGCTCATCCAATCACGATCCGCCACGTTCCACATTCCGCGGTTCCCCCCGAAGCAAAGAAAAGACGGAGGTTCGCCGTCGTTGGCTTCGTCCGACGAGTCATCCAGGCCGTCCGTTCCATCCGTGCCGTCCGTTCCGCATCCGTCGCTGCTGGCGCTCGTGGTTCCGTTCGTACCTGTACCGCTACCACCCCATGCGCTTGACCTGCTTTGACTCGCTTGGCTGCCATTGTACGGCGATGCAGGAGGTACTATCAGGAGCGGAGGAAGCGTAGTCGGGTTATCAGCAGTTCCAGCAGTATCTGTTGCTGATGATGATGCTGCTTCCGCTGTCAATTGTGCTACGGTGTTACGACCGAATAGCCTCATCTTTATCTCCCCAAATTCACTTGAATGCAGGGAAACGACACAAGCGACACAACTTTTCCTGCTACTAATTGAGTCACTTTAGTGTACGTAGAATCCTCTTTGCAAGCAACAGAAGAGTTAAGATTGTTGGAATCTCCGAGAATGGACCACTAACAGACGAACTGCAGAAAAAGTAAGCTCAACTCGGAATTTTGATCAAACTTCTGACGGAGAAGAACAGAGCAACTCAAGCCATGCTTGGCATTGGGCTCAGGATGGAACGGGGCGGGGGAATCATATCTGTTGATCACCAACCAACCCACGCGGAACTCCACGGGGATAATTGTGAGAGATGATGATGAGGGCGTGCTTGTTGCCGCTGGCGGATATCGTCGAATATCGTCGGGCAATATCTCTTTCTGGATGGAATTAACTGTAGGTACAGTTGTTTCATGACTCGGCAAAGTCAGGAAATTCCGTCAAAAAGAGGTCCAGGTGGAGTTTGCCAGCCAACACATCCCGTCCATCGCCCGTGCTGGCTTGTGAGTCGTGACCTTTATGTTCTCGTTCTCGGAATGTACAGTAATGTCTGACTTTCTCCTCCAACCAGAGGCACTCCAAACACCAATGCTTCGGTTGTGGAATCGACTTCGTGCCTTTCTACCAGCTCCATGTTGTCGTTGGCTCTTAATCAAACTCTGGTTTTCATGGGCGACGTTGCCCTAGGAACCCAGCGAAGAGGGCCAGACGCAAAGGACACAGGCTGGCTGGGCTTGCCCCTGAGGACATTGAGAATTAAGCTTGGGATTGGAGTTGTGTGTCCTTTCTGCTGAGTGCAAACCGAACAGAGCCATCAGCAACCGCAAGTTACTGCACCCTCCCTCACGGTTTTGTGGCCACAAATGACATATCACTTTGCCATACAAAAGCCACCATGTGGATAAGAACGAGGTGGAAAGGAGACTGTGTCTGAGGTGGCTGAGTCTGTGGACAGGGACCACAGCTGTGAAACCACTTGTGATGGGTGGATTCTGTCAATCAACTGAATATATTGCGCGTGAGTTCTGTGGACTGTTCTTCTCCACCAATTGCCGTGGCTTATCGATGCTGACATCACGGCAGAGAGAATCTGTCACCCTAAATTCAAATCCCTACCTATATACGCCTGACAATAGACCACTAGACGCTAAAGATATACATACGATATAATGTGAATAATATGATAAACATGCGATTTGTAGTTAGAGAAATGAGAATATTGTTTGCTAATGTTACGAGTGCAATTGAGTGAACGAACGAGAATTGCACTATCGAAGCAAGAGTACAATGAGCAAAGGCATGAGCGAAGAATATATAGCGAAACTACAGTGGTAACGGTAATTGACTGTGGTTGTCGCGCGACGGGTCGGGGACTGAGGTTGGGAAAAAGTGTCGAAGCGGAGGCCCGGAGCGCGGGTTACCCGCCGAGCCGTGAGGTCGGGGTGCGATGTGCGAAGGTGGCGGGCGGATTGTCGATGCGAGGGTTGCGAGTGGTAACGGTGCTGACTGTGGTGCTACAGTGATGTACGCATTGAGCAGGGATGCGAAGTAAGGAAAAGGAATTTTCCTTACAGCTAACGGCTTTATACTCTTGCCATCCAATGTGATTAGAAAAAAAACCTAAACATTTTCTACTCTTGCCTGATCGTTAGTTGCTTTGGTAGTTTCACATTTTCGGGATAACAATAGTTTGTGTTAACATGTCCACAAGCACCTATGTCGAGGCAACATTGATCAGCTCTATTCTCCTCCTCTGGAGCAGACACATAGCTGCCGAAGCCACGTCATGCAAGCTATTCGCCCCACCGACGCGCGACACGTTCTGCGCGACGCACTATCGCAACAGCTCAGAGGCCCGTGATGCACACGGCATGCGCGATGCAAGTGCGCTTCATGCACGAGCAAACATACAAAAATTATCGAACCTCCGCCCTCTACACGGCAGTTTTCTCTTCACGGAGATGTCTCTCTCATTCCGCGTCACAAGCTATACATCCGATCCCAAATCATCCGCCGAGCGCCATGCTCTCGAACTGCCTTCGCCACGGCCAGACCGGGGCTGCTTCGCGGCGCCGCCATCGCGGCAACGGCGGCAAGTCACACCGATGTCCTTCCGGCGACAACCCAAGCTGATGTGCTCTCATTTTTCACCAGCCGTTCCTCCTTCCCGCGCGTCCAACCTCCGCTGGGGTTCTCCCCCTTCCCGCGGAACCACTATCCGTCTGATGCTCTCCCCCTTCGCACGGAGGTCTAATCTCCGCCAGAGTTTCCCCCTCGTGCGTGGCCAATCTGGAACCTCCGCAACCTGGACCGACCTCGCCCGACCGCCACCGGGAGGGGAAAGCACGCACACAGACTCCCGCGCAGTTTGACACAGAGACGCAAATCCCTGCACCTTTCATAACAGCCGTCCTTGCCGTCATTTCGTCCTCTCGCGTTCTGCTCTTCGCTGCAGCAGTGTCCGCCCTCCCTTTTGCTCCCTTTCGCTCCCTTTCGCTTACGGCGAAGCTGCTATTAGGCTAGTTGCCCTACGCACGGGAATTTTAGAAGCCTAGTTCCCCTCCCATGGAACGCGGGAAAGGCGTCAGGGAGGAGCTCGGCCCGACATCCGAAACCCGCCTCCCCACGGGCATCGGCCGCCACGGCGAAATCGCGGAGGCGCCTCCCCCTGCGCCCTTCGCGAGCGGCGCGCGCCCTCCGCCGCACCCCTCCGCGGAGGCTCCGCGCGCGGGCGCGGGCGGAGGCCCCCAGAGGCAGCCCACGCCCCCGCTGGGCACGCTTCCGCGGGAAAGGCAGCCATCCCCGCCCATCCCCGCGCCCCACCTGCAGCCCCCCGGGCTGGGGCAGCCCGTGCACCCCACTCCGCCCAAGGAGCGCCAGGCGCAGCCCCCGCCCCCCCAGCCGCAGCAGCCCCAGCCGCCGCAGGTGCACCCTCAGGGGCAGCCCCAGCAGCCCCACCCCCAGCTGCAGCCACTGCCACCCCACCTGGCGGCAGTTCGGACGACCCACCCCATCCACCTCCCGCTCTCCTCTACAGAGGAGCCGCAGCGGCAGGGCGCGTGGGGCCGCGAGGCTGGGGAAGGCGGCACTGGTGCAGCTGCTGCTGCCGCTGCCGCCGGTGCGGCAGAAGGCGCGGTGACGGTGTCGATATCGCGGGCGGGCATGATGGTGAAGCCTGACAGTGTGTTCCGCCTGCACGTGGGCGTGCGGCCTCTTTCAGGGGAGCTGGACCATGAAGCCCTCTCTCGCCTGCACTCCTCCAACCAGTGCTACGGGCTGGGTAAGGCGAGCTGCGAGTGCTGATGGTGGCATGGGTAAGGCGAGAGGCGAGTGCTGGAGGTGCTAGTGGTGCTTGTGGTATGGGCGGGCATGATGGTGAAGCGGGACAGTGTGTTCCGCTTGCGTGTGGGCGTGCGGCCGCTCTCAGGCGAGCTGGACCATGAGGCTCTGATCGAACCCCATTTAGAGGCCATGGTTCAATACGTGGCAGCAAATGAATAGAGTATGACACCTACTCTGGTGTCACTTGCGTGTGGGCGTGCTCCGCTCTCAGGCGAGCTGGACCACGAGGCTCTGAGCCGACTCCACTCCTCCAACCAGTGCTATGGCATGGGTGAGGCGGGAACCTGGGGGGTAGAGGCCGGAATTGGCTCTTTACTTGGGCATGTATTGGATGGGTATGATGAGAACGGTCTAGGTTGCTACAGCCTGATTGCTCCTGTGACTTGCCAGTGATAACATCTCCGGTCCTCCTCCCTATAACATCCCTCCCATCCATCTGCGTTCCTCTCGTCGCTCCAACACGTCTCATCTACCTTCACCCATTCTCTCCTCCAACCCTTCCCGTCCAATCCCATCCCTCCCGTCCCTCTCATCCCAAGGGCAGCTGTGCTGCTGGCAGGACTCGCCCTCATCGCCCTCTCCGTGGTGCCTAATGTCTCACTGCAGCCCCTGCTAGGTGCGTGCGCCGAATCGGTGGTACGTAACAAGGTGCGTGCAACGCTGCAGCCCCTGCTAGGTGCGTGCAACGCTGCAGCCCCGTCCTGTTTGTTCTCCTTTCCAATGCGCGTTCTATTTCCGGCTCCATCATTGGATGATGATGATGATGTGGTGCTCCTGCTTGATTGAGCTCGTGGGATCGGCATGCGGATTTAATGTTCCAAGTTGTAACTGAGAACACGTGCAGAAACACACCCTCTTTCTGAAAATGCTCCTGCACAGCTTGACAGTGATGCACGGAGTCTCAGTCAGATGTGTCTTTCAACCGTCCTCTTGTCCATCACGTGTAGAGAGGGTGTTTTTTGAAACGTCTCAAAAACAACCGTCCTCTTGTCCGTCTCCCCCGCTTTCTCTGCGCTCCACCAGGCGGGCTGCTCATCGCCATGGGGCTGGTAACCGGGTTACACGCGCTAGTGCTCTTCACAGCGCCAGGAGCCATTGCCCTTGTCCTTCTCGCAGCAGTGCACGCAGCCTTTGGCGCCTGGCTGCTGCAAGCCCCATCGGACCATTTCCTCCTCATCGTCTCCCTCTGGCTCGCCGCCCAGGCGCTCTCTAAGCTGGCCCTCGCTGCCCTTTGGAGCCTCGTTTCGTCTTATGTGGCGCTCGTGGTGACGGCGGTGGTTGGGATTGGGCTGGCTGGGGTGGCGTATTTTGGCTTTGATGCCGACACGCCGAAGTGGGCGCACGGGGTGCTGGTGGGGGGATACCTCGTGCTGTATGGAGTCTCGTTCCTGCTCATCGCATGCATGGCGTATGCTGGTGAGTTGGGGGGGACATGTGCAGGTGGGAGGGGTGCTGGTGGGAGGATACCTCGTGCTGTATGGGATTGCTTTCCTGCTCATCGCATGCATGGCGTATTCTGGTGAGTTGTAGGGCGGCGTGGTATGTGCAGTGCATTGCAGGCATAGTGGATGTACAGTAAGTGCCGGTGTGGAAGCAGGGGGTGCTGCTGGTGGGGGGATACCTCGTGCTGTATGGGATTGCCTTCCTGCTCATTGCCTGCATGGCGTATGCTGGTGAGTTTGTAGGACATGCATTGCGGAATGAGTGGATGGGTAGTGTATGCGGTTTGGGCAAGGGGATTGCTGGTGGGGGGGCTGTCTCGTGCTGTACGGCGTTGTCTTCCTGCTCATTGCCTGCATGGCGTTTGCTGGTGAGTCGTGGGACATGGTATGTGCACTGTAGGCAGCCATAGTGGATGTGCATAGTAAGTGCAGGTGTGGGCGCAGGGGGTGCTGGTGGGGGGTACCTCGTGCTGTACGGCGTTGCATTCCTTCTCATTGCATGCATGGCGTATGCTGGTGAGTTCTGAGCCAACTTATGAGCTGCCCTAGAGTTTCTGCTCCCTAGAGTTTCTGCTCCCTAGAGTTTCTGCTGCTGGGTCTGTTGTTGGTCCTGTTGTTGGGTCTGCTGCTGGGTCTGTTGTTGGTCCTGTTGTTGGGTCTGCTGCTGGGTCTGTTGTTGGTCCTGTTGTTGGGTCTGCTGCTGGGTCTGTTGTTGGTGTTGCTTCTGGGCTGCTGTTGGGGCTACCTGGCTGGATTGTGCTTTCAGTGAAGCCTCCCCCTTTGTCCATCCACCGCCCCTCCTTATCCACTTCCTTAGCCCTGCACCTTGCTCTCAGGGCGGCGGCGTCTACTGGAGGAGGATGAGCAGGAGCATCAGCCATTGCATTTGGTGGTCTGACCCCTACAAATGAGGTCCTCAAAGCCCGAGGGCACACCCGGTGACTATTTAGTCGACTCAAGTCACCTCTTCCGAACGTGCCACTCCCCACCGCACTGCACACCTGTCTCAGGTCGGCGTCTGCTGGAGGACGAGGAGGAGGAGCGTCAGCCCCTGCACCTGGTGGTCGACCCGTTCCACTGAACACACCACTGAAGACTCTGAACGTTGATGACACCTGCTGGGGCATCAGGATTCAGGACCCACTTTGCAAGGCGTTGTGGCACACCTAGGGAGCAGTCATGGGGATGTTAGATGGGATGAGAGTGTGTAGATACCGCTAAGGGACGAGAGAGAGCCGCCTGTAGAAATGCCGGTTGAAAGAGTGGGGATGTTGAAGCAGCAGGCTGGATGGAGGTCCCTGGAAAGAGTTTCTCATGAGTTCGCTTATCACTGGTGTCGATGCTGGGGCGATTGTGTGTACATCTTGCTGTTTTTTCCCCTAGAATGTATACGGTAGTAGTATTGACCTCATGTTTCAGTTACTTTGTTGGGAATAGACCACCATGATCTGACACCAGGATTCAATGCAGCTCCCTAATCACAGGACAGGGAGGGACCCCATTTCAGCCAGGTTTTCGCAGGAAGAAAGTAACCAGGTAATTACTTTCAGGGACCCCATTTCAAGGTACCTCCAAAGAAGCAAATGCTGTAGCTGATTGTTGCTGCGCTTACGTAGGTACACTCAAAACTCAGTCTACAGCAGCCTTACAGGCTTGCCCTCACAGCACCCAGAGGTACAGTAGGTATATAATCGGTCAGTCATGATTGCTTGGATGGATGAATAACCCTACAACACAAAGGTTACCTACAATCCAAGCCAAGCGCTACCTGACAAACAATTCAACTTGTACGGTACTGTATCGAGGGATGCACACACCCGCCCAACAAGACATCCAGCCAGCAGCTTTGTATCGAGGGATGCTCAATGCTCATGCATGCCGAGCCTCTTCTTCATGGCCTCCCCACCCCACCATAGTTGATGCGCCTCAAAAGTTGACAGTGTGTGAGGGAGGTACGCTGCTCTGCACACATCCGCCCTACAAGGCACTTGGCAGCTAATGCATACTCTACTCCTCTTCACGACCTTCCCTCCAGGTTTGAGGCGCGTCAGAAGTAGTTGACGGTGCGTGAGGGATACACGCAGCACGCATCCATCCCTACAAGCCATCCGGAAACTCATGCATGCTCGAACTTTTCTTCAAGGCTTTCCCTCCCGCCCCTCCTCCGCCTCCTCCTCCCCCGTCCCCGCCAGCACCGGCATCTAGACTCATGCGCACACTCCCTCCCACCATCCCTCCTCCCCCTCGTAACGGCCCATGCAATGGGCTTGATGAAATGGGAGTGGCAGCGACTGAGTTGGCAAGAGATGCCCCTCTAGACCAGCTCCTCCCTTCCAGCTCTACAACATCCCCTCTCCCTCCTATCGACCCCCCCACGCCCCCTACCCCCGTGCTCCTCCTTCCTCCTTTCACCCCGCCTCCCCACCCCGCACCAGACGAAACCCCCCGCCCGGGAGTGCTCGCGGCACTGTAGCTGCCAGTTGGCCGCGCGACAGTGGTTGGCGACTCCGCAGCGCGTGACGTGGCGGGGCCGGTGCTGCTGGGCGCGCCACGTAGGACCGGCACGCGGGCGGCGAGGGTGGAGTGGATCCGGCCGTACCGCGCCCGCGTGGCATTCGCTGACTTGGCGACGATGACGTGGACGATGGGAGCAGGGAGGAGCGGCAAAAGAACCGATCGGATCCGGTCCAGAGAAAGCCCAGAGAGGGAGGACGGGTCGGGGAGGACCGAAAGAGTGTCCGGTTCGAGAGACCCTGATGTGGTCTTAGCTGCAAACGCAGCAGCACCACCAGCACCAGCACCACCGGCAGTGTCGGCAGCAGTGGAGGAATATTTAATGGCGAGTTGGAGGTGGTGCGTGGCGCCGCACTTGATGACAAGCGGCCCCTCCGCACTGTTCAGCTGCACCGCCGTCCACTCTCTCACCCCCTCCTGCTCCGCCCTCCTCCGCACCTCCTCCTGCCTTGCCGCCACACTACCTGCTGCTGCTGCCCCTCCTCCTCCTCCTCCTCCTGCTGCTGCCCCTGCGCCTCCTGCTCCTACTGCTGTGGCTGGCATACCGACCCTCTCCCCTTCCGTAGACAGGCCAGCAGCAGCAGCACTCTCACCTCCCCCTTCCCGTCCTAATCCCTCTCCCACTCCTCCATCTGCTCCCTCTCCCGTGCCTCGCCCCAGCCCATCCACCAGCCCTGTCACCTGACTCCACAGGGAGCTCCCCCCTGCTCCTGCACCCCCTGCCCCTGCATTCCCTGCTGCTGCTGCCCCCCCTGCTCCTGCCCTCTCTTGCAGTGCCGGGCCTCCTTGGGACGGTGCGAGTTGGGAGAGGGACGAGCGGGAGGGAGAGGAGGGGCGGCGCGAGGGGGAAGACGGGCGGCGGTAGGGGGAACCAGTGGCACTGTGGCGCGACGGGGAGGACGGGTGGTGTGCTGCAGCAGCAGCACCAGCAGCAGTACCAGCAGCAGAAGAGGTGGAGTGTCGGGCAGGAGAGGAGGCAGCACCGGCATGGGAAGCAGGCGGGGCGCCTGCCTGCTCACCGTCGTGAAAGAGACGCCTTGAGAGACCACCACCCTCCTGCTGCTCCTGATTGCCGCTGTGCTGCTGCTGCTCGTGGTGCTGGTGATGCTGGTGGTGGTGGTGAGGATGGTGGGTGCCGGTATGGGATGGGTGTGTGTGTGGAGCTTGCTGTTGCTGTTGGTGCTGGTGGTGTTGGTGGTGGTCGGTGTGTTGGTGTGAGTGTGCAGAGCCCGGTGTACCTGGGAGGGAACCTGCCGCACTGACAGCACCACTGGTTTCCGAAACCGGCTGGAGACAGACAGGCAGGCAGGCAGACGGGACACGAGGGAGCGAGGATTGGGACGAAAAAAAGGGAAGAACTGCAGGGCATAAGCGACGATCTGCTCGCCCACCATCTTGCCAGCACCCAAGGGCGGCCCCTGCTGTTGCTCCTTCAACAAAGCCAGGATCCCTGAACCCCCCAAACCCCCAACCCCGGCACTCACGGGGAAGAACTGCAGGGCATAAGCGACGATCTGCTCGCCCACCATCTTGTCTGGCCCTGCCAGCACCGGCAACTCCTCCCGCTGCTGCCTCGCCAGCCCCTCCCGCATGCCATTAACCTCTTGGTCTGGCGGCATGCGCGAGGCTGACAGCGCTTCCATCGCGTCCTAATGGGGGGGGAATGGGTGGGGAGGGAGCAGCGGAGGGGCATTTGCCTCGTGAATATTGTCAGGAGTCAAGGTGGTGTTCTGTTGACCGCTTCGTCTGGCGGCATGCGCGAGGCTGAGAGCGCTTCCATGGCGTCCTGATGGCAGAGGGGGGTGGCAGGGAGGGAGACTTGTGGGAGGGAGCGCTTCCATGGCGTCCTGATGTGTGGAGGCAGTGCAGAGGGGTTGACTTGTGAGAGCTCTGCAAAGTGAAAACTCCCATGATGAAACCCTCTGTGCCGTGAACGCGAGTCACCTTTGAGGCATCCTCTGCCATGCCTCTCAGCACCTTACTGCACCGCACCCGCCTCTTCCTCACTTGGCAAGCTGTCTCTCCCACCCTTAAAGCTCGGAAACCCACTTACCCACCTGGCAAACACAGAATCTCTCACCAACTCTCTCACCCACCCTCTCACCAACTCTCTCACCCACCCTCTCACCAACTCTCTCACCCACCCTCTCACCAACTCTCTCACCCACCCTCTCACCAACTCTCTCACCCACCCTCTCACCAACTCTCTCACCCACCCTCTCACCAACTCTCTCACCCACCTGACATGCACGGAAAATCTTCTCAAGGGCAGCGAGAGACCCAATTCTGCTCTCCTCCTTGACACCGCCCTCCGCCTCCCACCGCTTCTGCCCCTCCAGCAGCTCCTCCCTGTGCGCCCCCAGGGAAGCATCGGCCGCCACATCCCTCAGCAGCTTGGCGCGCTTGTGCCTCACAGCCTCAAGGCCCAGGCGCAGCTTGATCACATGCTCCATGTCGTCCGCCTCCTCCACCAATAGGGACGAGCCCACGTCCTGTACAAGCCAAATCAAGGGAGAGAGGGATTTGAAACAGGACGGAAGGAAAGCTTGTGCCTCACGGCCTCAAGGCCCAGGCGCAGCTTGATCACATGCTCCATGTCGTCCGCCTCCTCCACCAGTAGGGACGAGCCCACGTCCTGTGCAAGCCACATCAAGGGAGAGAGGGATTTGAAACAGGAGGGAAGGAAAGCTTGTGCCTCACTGCCTCAAGGCCCAGACGCAGCTTGATCACATGCTCCATGTCGTCCGCCTCCTCCACCAATAGGGACGAGCCCACGTCCTGTACAAGCCAAATCAAGGGAGAGAGGGATTTGAAACAGGAGGGAAGGAAAGCTTGTGCCTCACGACCTCAAGGCCCAGGCGCAGCTTGATCACATGCTCCATGTCGTCCGCCTCCTCCACCAATAGGGACGAGCCCACGTCCTGTACAAGCCAAATCAAGGGAGAGAGGGATTTGAAACAGGACGGAAGGAAAGCTTGTGCCTCACGGCCTCAAGGCCCAGGCGCAGCTTGATCACATGCTCCATGTCGTCCGCCTCCTCCACCAGTAGGGACGAGCCCACGTCCTGTGCAAGCCACATCAAGGGAGAGAGGGATTTGAAACAGGAGGGAAGGAAAGCTTGTGCCTCACTGCCTCAAGGCCCAGACGCAGCTTGATCACATGCTCCATGTCGTCCGCTTCCTCCACCAGTAGGGACGAGCCCACGTCCTAAAGAGGGGTTGACATGGGATGGGACGAAAGAAGGTGGTGAGGGGAAACGTATATCTGACTACCTCCACTAAACTTATCCGCAGCTTGATCACATGCTCCATGTCGTCCGCCTCTTCCACTAGCAAGGAGGAACCCACGTCCTGCACAAGGAGGGAAGAAGCAACATCAAAGGAGAGATTGAGGATTGATAAAGGGAGAAGAAAAGGTTGTGCCTCACTGCCTTCAAGCCCAGGTGCAGCTTGATTACATGCTCCATGTCGTCCGCCTCTTCCACTAGCAAGGAGGAACCCACGTCCTGCACAAGGAGGGAAGAAGCAACATCAAAGGAGAGATTGAGGATTGATAAAGGGAGAAGAAAAGCTTGTGCCTCACTGCCTTCAAGCCCAGGCGCAGCTTGATCACATGCTCCATGTCGTCCGCTTCCTCCACCAGCAGGGACGAGCCCACGCCCCCGGCTGCATCCCACGAGGAGAGTGCAATGGGATGGCACGAGAAGGAAGCGCGGAGAAGCAATGCAAGAGAGGGGTACCGATGCATCGAGCTGGTTTTTGAGAATTCTCAAAAACCAGCATGCATCGTGCACCTAACCTTGAGGTTCCCCAGCTGTGACCTCTACTGTCTGAAGCTCCAGCCAGCCAGCACCTGCCCCAAGGCGTCCTCGCTGTACTGCATAAGCGTAACCAGCCCCTCCCTCCCACTCACCTCTGCAATACCTAGAGCACTCTGCCCGTGCACCTCACCTTGAGGTTGCTCAGCTGACTGAAGCTCCAGTCAGCCAGCACCTGCCCTAGAGCATCCTCGCTGTACCGCATTAACGTGCCCAGCCCCAGTGCACACTATTGACGCACCTTGAGGTTGCCCAACTGAGACCGGTACTGTCTGAAGCTCCAATCCGCCAGCACCTGTCCCAAGGCGCCCTCGCTGTACCGCATGCTGTACCGCATTGACGTGCCGAGTCCCCTCCCGCTAACTCACCAGCCAATCCAACACCAAGTGCACTCTACTCACGCACCTTGAGGTTCCCCAGTTGAGACCGGTATTGCCGGAAGCTCCAATCAGCCAGCACCTGCCCCAGAGCATCCTCACTGTATCTCATGAACGTGCCCAGCCCCTCCCGCCACCCCTCCACCACCGCCGCCGCCACCGCCACCACGTCCTCCTGCGCGTCCCTGGGCGGCTCGCTCGCCGCCCAGAATCCAAACTGCGATCCGATCCACTGCAGCACTCGCTGCTCCAGGCTGGTGACGTCAGCGACGCGGGCGATGAGGTCAGCGGGGAGCGAGGAGGGGTGGGAGAGCGGGGTGGTGGTGGTGGTGGCGGTGGGTTTGGCGGTAGCAACGTGAGCGAACACTAGGGCTAGCTCCTTGTGTCCCTTGGCGTGGTCTGCTGCCTCCTGCCGGATTTCCCTGATCCGTGCCTCTGACACCTGGTGTGTGGTGTGGCATTGCACGGCACGGGGTGTGACGCAGAGGAGTGTGAGTCAGAGGAGTGTAATTCAGAGGAGTGTGATTCAGAGGAGTGTGATTCAGAGGAGTGTGATTCAGAGGAGTGTGATTCAGAGGAGTGTGATTCAGAGGAGTGTGATTCAGAGGAGTGTGATTCAGAGGAGTGTGATTCAGGGGAGTGTGATTCAGGGGAGTGTGATTCAGAGGAGTGTGATTCAGAGGAGTGTGATTCAGAGGAGTGTGATTCAGAGGAGTGTGAGTCAGAGGAGTGTGATTCAGAGGAGTGTGATTCAGAGGAGTGTGATTCAGAGGAGTGTGATTCAGAGGAGTGTGATTCAGAGGAGTGTGATTCAGGGGAGTGTGATTCGAAGCTCCTTATAACCCTTGGCATGGTCTGCTGCCTCCTGCCAGATCTTCCTGATCCGTGCCTCTGACACCTGGTGTGGTGTGCGCGGTTCAGCAGTGCACGGGGTGTGATTCAACCTTAGAAAGGCGTGCTTCAGAGGAGTTGGGCATAGACACGTGGGATTGTGCGCCATGTGTGACAGCAACAGGCGGATTACAAGTGTAGGAGGTGCGGGAGCACCACAGTAGCAGCATGCATGTATATCTGAATCACTTCCAGAATTCTCAAAAGAGCGTTTTTTTCTATATAACTCTCAAAAGTCATGCTTTGTGCCAACAAGTGGAAACACAATTCAAACGCGAATGTGCATTGGGGAGAGCAAGCAACGACCACCACACCTTAACCGCAGAGTTCCCTCCTGCGCCCGCGGCCTTCTTCCCACCGGCTCGGAACGACGGCAGGCGGAACGATGCACTGCCCCGCCGGTCCGCAATGCTCGCACTCCCCCCACCTCCTGCGCCCGCGCCCGCTGCCCCCTTGTCCCCCCCCGGCAGCTTGAGGTCGAGGCGGAACGTGCGGAGGGTGGAGCCGGGCGCGGGGGTGGCGGTGGTGGGCAGTGCGAAGGTGGAGCTCTTCTGCAGAGCGGGCTTGGCCGGCTGGGGTAGGGCTTTCTCCAAAAACCGCTCGATTGCCGGGACCTGGTGGGAGGGAAGGGTACAGTGGAGGGAGAGGCAAGAAAGATTGATGCTTTCTTTGAGTCCTCGTGTCGACCCCCTTGTTTCCCCCCCCCCCGGCAGCTTGAGGTCGAGGCGGAACGTGCGGAGGGTGGAGCCAGGATCGGGGGTGGCGGTGGTGGGGAGAGCAAACGTGGAGCTCTTCTGCAGAGCGGGCTTGGCCGGCTGGGGTAGGGCTTTCTCCAAAAACCGCTCGATTGCCGGGACCTGGTGGGAGGGAAGGGTACAGTGGAGGGAGAGGCAAGAAAGATTGATGCTTTCTTTGAGTCCTCGTGTCGACCCCCTTGTTTCCCCCCCCCCGGCAGCTTGAGGTCGAGGCGGAACGTGCGGAGGGTGGAGCCAGGATCGGGGGTGGCGGTGGTGGGGAGAGCAAACGTGGAGCTCTTCTGCAGGGCGGGCTTGGCCGGCTGCGGTAGGGCTTTCTCCAGGAACCGCTCGATTGCTGGTACCTGGTGGGAGGGAGGATTGGAGGGGAGGGGAGGCGAGAGAGATTGATGCTTCATTTGAGTCCCCTTTGGTTCCCCCCGCCCGCTACCCCCTTGTCCCCCACTCAGTTTAGTCGACTGCACATCAGCCGACTTGGAGCGCAGCACACGCAGCAGCAGCAGGCGGCTTATTGAAGCACCTCAACCATCCCCCCCATCCCTCTCCCCTCTTCCCCTCCTCCCCACACTCACTTTACTGGACTGCACATTGGCTGACTTGGAGCGCAGCACACGCAGCAGCAGCAGACAGCTTTTGAGGAGCCTCAAAAGCCCCCTCCGCACTCACCTCACTTCACTCCCCACACTCACTTCGCTCCCCCTACTCACTTTACTGGACTGCACATCGGCTGACTTGGAGCGCAGCACGCGCAGCAGCAGCAGGCGGGCGCACGACACGAACGGCCATTCAAGAGAGAGCGCCTTGGAATGCGCCCACGCCAGCAGCGCCACCACCGCCGCCCGCACCTCCTCTGCTGCCCGCCCCTCCTCCTCGCTGCCAGCTGGCAAAGCGGCGACAGCTGTGAGCATCTGATTGGCCAAGGACGGAGAAGAGTGTAGTGGACGGATGGGGGAAGGAGGGGTTTGAAGCAAGATCGGGGAAGGGGGTGGGAGTTAGTGTGGGCATGCTGTTGCTCGTGCACTCCCGTAATGGCATGGTCGCACAATCAACCTCTGCTATCCACCAGTCACCACCGCTCTCCACCACTCACCATGGCTCTCCACCACGCACCTCTCTCAAGCACGCGTTGCTCTCCTCAGCCAGAGCAGCAGCATCGCTCTGCGCATCCACCATCACCCTATTCATCCGCCCCACCACCTCGTCCCTCCGCCTCTCCCACTCCCCACCACCGCTCCCCACCTGCTGCTGCGACTGCAACCCCCCTGCACCCACTCTCGTAACAGCAGCAGCAGCGGCGGCAGCGGCAGCAGGAACCCCCTGCTTCCCTCCATTCCCCTGCCCCTGCTGCTGCTGCTGCTGCTGCTGCTGCTGCTGGACCACAGTCCCGTCGCCTGCCCCTGCGCCTCCATCCCCATGTCCCGCTGTGCCATTCGCAGTGACTGCCTGTGCCTGAGCCTGAGCCTGGACGTGAGCGTCCACCTTCATGAGGGCGGAATTCTCGAGAGCAGCCTGGAGGGGAGAAGAAGAGAAGGACGAGGAGGAACAGAGTGAGCAATGGATAGCACTGGATTCAGTGGGAGATGCGGAGTTGTGTTGACATGCAGGGGAGATGGTGGGGTGCGTCAAGAGAGTTCTGAGGCATTCTCAAAGCATGGACGCACACTCATTCCGAAGCACCTGAAGAGTCGAGTTTCTCAGACCTATGGAGTGGAGTAGACCACGCGAACTGAATGTTCAGCCTGCGCTCTGAAAGCTCACCACCAGCTATACTGGATTAGAACCCCTCGGGGAATGCCCACAAAGTGATTCTACTAAGACAACCTTAGTCAACCTCAGACAAATCCAGCCTGGGCGAAAGCTCACCAGTGCACTGTTGGTGGCCTCGAGGCGAGACAGCAGACTGGCATTCTCCGCATTCAGCTCCTAAAAAACAGGGGAAGAAGGGTGGTGGGGGGGAGGAAGGAGAGGGAAGGGAGGTGGGGGAGGGGAACGGGTTAGACTTGAGGGAACTGGGAAGAGACGTTCAGACGCACCCTGTGATCTCCAGGCGAGAGATAGCAGGCCGCCAGTTCTGCCGTCCCACCCAGTGATCGCGTCTCTCTTCTCCAGCTTGTTCTTATACCGCTGCCATGCCATAGCTCCTCAACCTATGCACTACTGCAAACACACACAACCCTCAGCTTCTGTAGAAACGTCTAGCTCTTCCCACAGACTCCAAAGTCTACCAGTCATGAGCAAGACTTTTTGCAGTTTGCATAATATTCTTGTGCATGTCTGTGCTGTACTGTTCTCTTGCCACAGACTCCGAAGTTCAACCTCTCAGCGTGAGCAGCAGCAACTCACCCTGGTGAGCGCTTTGTTCTTCTCCAGCTATGTTCATGCTACTTTTGAAAAAATCTCAAAAGTAGCATCAACATAGCTCCCTCTTGAACACTACCTCACAGCGCTGCACTGCAGTGGCTCTCTCCCTGCATGCAACCACATCCAGCCGCCTTCCAGCTTCCAACTGCAGGGAGAGAGCCACAGCTTCCAGCTTCTACCCCTCCCAATGCTCAACAGGTGACTTTTGAGTCCACTCAAAAGCTTCCAACTTCTACCCCTCCCAATGCTCAACAGGCATCCCCGATCCATGCATACTCTAGTGGCATCATTCTTGTACGCCGTCATTTTCTGCACTGCTGCTTCGTACTGCCGCCGCACTCAAGTCGCTCTCCCGCTGCAGGCATCCAGTCCAGCCTGCCTGCCTTCCAGGTTCCCACCCCCAACCCTCTAAGGCCCAACAGGCATTCCTCACCCTCACATACCCCGGTGGCCCATACACACCCTGGTGAGCGCTTCACTCTTCTCCAGCTCGTTCTTATAAGCTGTCATCTTCTGCACCGCTGCTTCATACCGCTGCCGCAGCTCCGCCACCTCCGCTGAATCCTCCTGCGGGCGGCGCAGTGCCGCCACCGTCGCCGCCATTTCGGCTGCTTCTGCCAGCCGCCCGTGCAGCTGCTCCACTTGGACCTGTGGGGGGGAAGGAGTGGAGGGGGTTAGAGAAAGAGAGGTGCAAGAGGACGAACTTGGAAAAGAAAGCGAGATGCTTTCCATTGCTGCTGGGATTTAGGCTGCCACTTCCCATTACGCCTCTATATCACCACGTACGCCTCCATATCACCTCCCTCTATATCACCTTGCACGCCTCTACATCACCTTGCACCCCTCTGCGTCACCTTGCGCCCCTCTGCATCACCTTGCACCCCTCTGCATCACATCGCACCCCTCTGCATCACCTTGCACCCCTCTGCATCACCTTGTACGCCTCTATCTCCGCAATGTGTTGCTGCTGCACGCGCTCCATCTCCTCCTCGTGCTCCCTCACGGTCTTAGCCCCCTCCAGCACTGCTCGAGTCTCCCACTCCTCCTCCATCCGCCGCTGTGCCTCCACCCCTGCTGCCACCTCAGCCTGCAAGCAGAGGGAGGGAAACACGGGGATGTGAACACAAGCTCAGATAGAGGATGTCAAGGCCTAGGGCCATACCCAGACACTCACACACACATCCTTCCTTCCTCTTCTCTTCCTTTCCAGCCTTGCCCTCCCCTTCTCCACCACCTTTCCAGCCTGAGCCCAGGAGGATTACGACGAAACATTACGTCTGTCTGTCCTTCACTATCACCCATCCACACCCTCTTCCCCCCCGCCCCCCCCCCCCCCCCCCCCCCCCCCCCGGCTCACCATGAGCCTTTCCACTTCAGTGTGGTGTTGAGGCTCCACCAGGCCAGCCTGGGCCCATACCTTCACTCACACATGAATGCTTACCCACCCTATTCTCCCTCAAACCCTCTCCCTACTCCCGTTCTCACCATGAGCCGCTCCACTTCAGCGTGGTGCTGCGCCTCCACCAGGCCAGCCTGGGCCCAGGCGCGTTGCAGCTCGGTGAGCAGCACACACCCCGTCTGCTCGCTCGCCCTTAGGGCGTCCTTCAGCCGCAGCACCTCCTGCTGCACCTCTGCTGTCTGCCTCTCGCTCTCAAACACCTCCCTCCTTGCATCATTCGCCTGGGGAGGAAAGATGGGGGGGGAGAGGGGGAGGAAATCACGGTGAAACTCAACACATATGGCAGCAGCAGCAGCAGCAGCTCCTGCTGCGCCTCTGCTGTCTGCCTCTCGCTCTTAAACACCTCCCTCCATGCGTCAGACGCCTGAAAGGATGGGGAGAAAGGGAGGATACAAGAACGCGGCTCTTCAGCGCGTTACAGCACTTCCGCGCTCCATCGCCCATGCCACCCGCCTCTCACTCTCAAACACCTCCCTCAGGTCACAGCCTCTCAAAGCTGTCACAGGCTGAACCGCCCGGCCACTCACCCACCCACCCACACACTATGCCCAACCCCAACAGACCCACCATGTCGCGCCACTTCTTGATGGTGTCACGAGTGCCGAGGCTGAGCTCGGAGTTGCGCGAGCGGGCAGCAAAGGCCAGCGAGAGAGCCGACTCTGCCACGTCCTTCACGGACGGGCTGCACGTCACCACCATCACCGTCTTGGCCTCACCTCCTGGCAAGGTGAGGGAGGAGGAGAGAGAGAGAGAGGAGGTAGACACAAGTGGGGATGCGGACGGGCTTAGCCACCGACTCTGCCACGTCTGGGCATTGACGGGCTGCACGTCACCACCACCACCGTCTTGGCCCCGCCGCCTGGTGGTGCAAGGGAGAAAGGGAGGATAGCGAGGAGAGAGGGAACGTGAGGGCGCACTGATTCTAAGCGTCCCTCACTGACGGGCTGCACGTCACCACCACCACCGTCTTGGCCCCGCCGCCTGGTGGCCGTACATACAGGGAAGGGAGGGAGAGGCGGGGGGGAGAGGGTGGTCCACCTGAGCCAGTGTTGTCAACCTGAGAGCCGTGGTAGTGACTCGGGTTTACACCTGGCATCTTGGCCTCACCGCCTGCCGGTTTAAAAGAGAGGGAGAGTGTGAAGGGGGGGAACGTGAGGAAGAGGAGAAGCACAGGCACAAACATTCTAATCCAGCTGGTTTTTGAGAATTCTCAAAAACGTGAGGAAGAGGAGAAGCACAGGCACAAACATTCTAATCCAAGCGTCTTTCACAGAGGATGCTGGCATGGCACGGGATGGGAGGACCTGGCACTAGAGGCATGCGCTACACCTTGCATGGGAACTGGGAAAAACTACGGCCCAGAAAAGCACTGGAACGCCACGCCTGTACCTTGTATTTGGAGATTCTCAAGAGGTACAGGGTCACGCATCAATGTGTGTTTTGAGTCGACTCAAAACACAAGAGGTACAGGGTCACGCATCAATGTGTGTTTTGAGTCGACTCAAAACACAAGAGGTACAGGGTCACGCATCAATGCACGCTGAAACAGCATACTGAGGCAGTCAGAGAGCACCGTGGTGAGCTTGGAGGCAATTGCATCATATAACAGAGAATTCTCATAAAGAGTATTGGTTGGACCATGCACCAAGGCATCCCCCTACGTACCGAGGCAGTCGGAGAGCAGCATGGTGAGCTTGGAGTTGCCGTACGGCACGGTGGGACGCTTGCCCGTGAGTGCAGACAGACAGTCGCCCAGCCTGCAGGTTGAACAGCACAGCCGCGCAAGGACTCAACACAACACGACACGCCGAGAACGCATGCATTGTACGCTGAGAAAGACTTCAGAACAGCAAACAATCAATTAAGAAGGACTCAGCAGCACCGTACGCTGAGAAGGACTTCTGCACATGCAGCGGGGCAGTGAGCCTGTCCCCCGAGGCGAGGCGGTGAGGCGGTCCCCCGAGGCAGAGGAGGATGTATGAGCAGCACAGACCATACCACAGAGAACTTGACACATCAACCCATCCCACCCCACCCCACCCCACCCCACCCCACCTCAACCCACCCCATCAACCAACATTATCGTACGCTGAGAAGGATTTCTGCACGTGCAGCGAGGCGGTGAGGCGGTCCCCCGAGGCAGAGGAGGAGGCGAGGAGGCGCTCGCTGGAGGCGAGATCCGCCAGCAGCAGCTTGCTGTCCTGCTGCTCTCCTGTCACTGGGTCGTCATGATGCACTCGCACTATCACCACCCTGGTGTGTACAGTGAAGGGGGAAAGGGGGGAAAGGGGGGAGGGGGGGAGGGGTGGGTGTGATCCGCCAGCAGCAGCTTGCTGTCCTGCTGCTCGCCTGTCACTGGGCCGTCGTGATGCACTCGCACAATCACCACCCCTGGGAGGGTTCAAAACGAGGTAACAGAAGGTGGTGGAGCATGGGGGGTCATGGGGTAGTTAGTTGCCAGCAGCAGCTTGCTGTCCTGCTGCTCTCCTGTCACCAGGTCGTCGTGATGCACTCGCACTATCACCACCCTGGTGGGGATTCAGAGGGCGAGAGGGAGTGTTGGTCGGGGTGGAGGGGGCAGGGTATGCCATTTGCGATCAGCTTCTCGGCCATCACGTGCACTAGTATCACCACCCTGAGGTGCAGCCACACACAGAGCGGCCAGTGGGACGGTGGATGGCCGGAGGGTTGGATGAGGCGGAGGAGGCGCTCGCTGGAGGCGAGATCCGCCAGCAGCAGCTTGCTGCTCTGCTGCTCTCCTGTCACTGGGTCGCCGTGATGCACTCGCACTATCACCACCCTGGGGTGCAGTCACAGGGGGGGAAGGGGGGGAGTTGGCGGGGGGGTTGAAAAAAAGGGTCTGCCATTAGCAATCGGCTCCTTGGCCATACACCGGGTAGTTGTGGTGTGCGTGCAGCACTATCCCGGGGAGGAGGGGCAAAAGAGCCTATAAGCACGGCAGAGGAGCTTAGAGCTTACAAGAGCCGGCAAGTGAAGAGACTCACAAGTGGGAGAGCTTGTTGCGCTCCTTGCTGTCGCCAACGAGCCCACCTCCCCCAGATGCACCTCCCCCTGCCGCCCGGTGCTGCAGAGCTGTCTTGACCACCTTGGCATACTCCATCGGGTTGCTCACCGCCTCCTCCCTCACTCCCCGCACCTCCACCTCTCCCCACCCCCCCACACCCCCTCCTACTCCTGCTCCTCCTGCTGCGCCTGCTCCTCCTCCCCCTGCTGCTGCTCCGCTGCCTCCTCCCGGCCCCCCATGCACGAGTTCCACCTTGCCCAAGGACCCATGGCCGGCCTGCAAGGGGTTCACCAGCAGGTCGCTCAGCTGTGGCACGCACAACGGGAGAAACGGGAGAAAAGGGGAAGACGGAGGTGAGATGAACCGATGAAACGCAACCCTCCCCCCTCCGTTGTCAGTCCCCTTCCTCTACTTTCCTGCATCAGCCGTTCCCTCAGCCCCTAAATCCAGCTCGCCCACCCCTCTGCTCGTTTCACATCTCAATTATCTGCCTCACAGCTCTCTTCACTCCACTCAACTAACCCACCCCACCCCACCCCCACCCCTCCTCACCTGCTCACTGCACATCTGTACCACCCTCCGCCCCTGTTCCCCCTGAGCCCCAGGCTATTTTTGAGAATTCTCAAAACATTCTAAAAAATACCTTGAAAACACTCAGAAATATCCCACCCCCTCCTCCCCTCTACACCTCCTCACCTGCTCGTTGAACATCTTGAGCACACTAACATGGAAGGAGTAGCTGTCAGTAGGGGCGTATGTATGTTGAGTAGGCGAGGTCGTGGATCTCTCTACTACCTGCCTCACAGCTCCCCCGTCCCGTCGCCGCCACCTACACCAAATCTCCACCCTCACCTGTTCTCAACCCTCCAACCCCACCCTCTCCTTCCCTCCACACCTCCTCACCTGCTCATTGAACATCTCGAGCACGCTGACGTGGAAGGTGTAGCTGTCAACGGGGGCGTAGGTTGAGTTGGCAAGATCGTAAATCTCATCAAACGCTCGGTAGAAGACGCCGCGATCGTGAGATGGGCCCTCCTGAAATGGCGCAAGAGGTGGGGAGGAAAGGAGGAGTCGTGTGGGGATTAGTCCCGAGTGTATGAGGCCATAGATCTCATCAAACGCTCGGTAAAAGATACCCCTGTCGTCGGACAGGCCCTCTTGGAATGCCAAAGGGGGAGGAAGGGAGAGGGTGGGGGGTGGCATGTCCGCTGTGTCATGTTCGCAAGGTCATAGATCTCAGCAAACGCCAGGTCAACCATGCAGAGAGGAGGCGGGCAACAGCAAAGGGGCAGCAATGCATTTTCTTCTTCCGCCTCCGTCCCCCCTGTTTATCTACTTCCGAAAATTCCTAACTGCCTATCTGGCGTGCATTCGAATCAGGCAATGTACCTTTTTCTCCCACCAGCCCAATGCTCGTACCATGGTGTGTGACTTCCCCGAGCCGCTCTGCCCGTACGCGATGATGGAGGCGTTGAAGCCGTCCATCACAGCCTGCACCATGGGCTGCACCGCGTCCACGAATAGATCGCCTGCACAACAAGGAGGTACAGAGTGGTTCAGTGCGGTCACAGGCACGTTTGCACTGCTTCATGTACACCCTTGACACTGTATGCGATTCAGTGCGGTACGACCGCCTCACCTTGCCCCACATGTGGCCCATAAATGCGATCACCCCTCACCTTGCCCCACATGCGGTCCATAAATGTGATCCAGCTCATAGTCCCTCTTTGCCAGCCCGCTGCTGCCACCCCCACCACCCAAGGACCCAGGAGACCCTGCTCTGCCCGCACTGGCTGAAGCAGTGGCAGCGACGGACGCAGAGGGGTTGATGCGGATGGTGGTTTCGTCTGGGAAGGAGAGCGCGAGAGAATCCTCGTGCTCGAATGCCGGGCGGACGCGACACACCACTCGGATGTTGCCTGGTGGAGGAAGGAGAGCAGAGAAGTGGAGAGAAGAGGAGAGGAGGAGAGGAAGAAGCGGCGAAGAGGGGAGAGGCAAGGAGAGGAGAGGCGAGGAGTGGAGAGCAGACGAGAGGAGAGGAGAGGAGACGAGAGCAGACGAGAGGAGAGCAGATGAGAGGAGAGGAGGAGAGGAGAGGAGAGGAGAGCAGAGCAGACGAGAGGAGAGCAGAGCAGACGAGAGGAGAGGAGAGGTGGGGAGGGGAGAGGAGGGGAGGGGAGAGTGTGAGAAGGAGAGTGCGAGGAGGGATGCACAGGATGACGTCTGGGTTCACACAATGCCACATGCTAGCTGCGTGGAGACGAGAGAGCCGTGCCTCAGATGGGATGGGAGGTTTCCTTTTCGACCGAGCGAGGTTGTTGCCGCGCCTTTTTTTTAGAGTGACAGGTAGCATTCTACGAAAGGGATTGGCTGGCTGGGAGGTCACATGATGACTGGATGAGGCTGTTCAAGTGCATTCAAGGGGAGCGATAGGCGGCATTCTAGGAGAGGAATTTGGTGGGTGGGGGGGAGGTGACCTTTGGACTGGATGAGGCTGTTGAAGAGCCGCCGGCGCTCCTTCTTCAGAGGCGCTACCTTTGACTCCGCCTCCTGTGCCACCTGGTCTGCACGCACTCCCACCACACCACACATGGCGCACAGGCAGCGAGAACAGTTGGAGGTAAGGAATAGGGGAGGTCAAGATGGACATAGTGGGCAAGTTGAAATGGATGAAACTGAATAGAAAGGTGAGACTGAGGGGGATGGCAAACCAAAAGAGCGTGGTAAGATGCATGTGATGTGACAAGGGAACGAAGCCATGTGGTGGCGGGGAAAGGAAAGGAAAGGAGTGTAAGCACGGGAGGAAAGGCATGCAGGGCACGCACCGAGTCCGTGGGCCTTCTTGGCCAGGAGCTGCAGGTACGTCTGCGCGCGCGCAAGCTTGGCGGAGGCATACTCCTGCATGTCGCACGCGTCCTGCCTCAGCTCCAACACCTCCTCCCTCGCTTGCTGGGGGAATGGGGGGGGGGAAATGAGGTTCGGGTTTTGAAGAGGTTGAGGGGAGGGCGGTAGGGTTGGGGACTTGCTCCCCTGCCGCAGCTCCAGCACCTCCTCCCTCGCTTGCTGACGAGAGAGGGCGGAAGGGGGTGGGGGATTGGGTTGGGGGTTGGGCTTTCGAGTGGTTGAGAGGAGGGCGGAAGAATTGGAAACTTGCTCCTGCACGTCGCATGCGTCCTGCCACGATTCCAACACCTCCTCCCTCGCTTGTTGTCCGCGCACGGTGCGTCAGAAGGGAGGGGGCGAGGGGGTGGGGTGGGGGGCTGTAAAGATTGAGGGGAGAGCGGAGGGCTAGGGTTGGCAATAAGTGGCTACTTATTCTCGACTCAGAAGTCCCTTTTCTAGATTGGAGAAGGCGGATGGGGGAAAGGGGGGCCATGGGAACGGGGAACAGGGGGGTTGGACACGAGGAAGGTGGTGCGCGATCCTGTCAGAGGCGCGCTGCTGCAGTTTACATGACACGCGATCGGCGCATCACAGACGCACCCTTCTTGAACGACACAGGGAGTGGCGGGGAGTGGCGGTTAGTGGCGGGGAGTGGCGGTTAGTGACGAGGAGTCGCGAGGAGTGACGGGGAGTGACGAGTGGGGGGGAAGTGACGGGGAGTGACGGGGGAGTGACGGGGGAGTGACAGGGAGAAACGGGAGAGTAACGAGGAGTGACTGGGAGTGACGTAGAGTGACATGGAGTGGCGGAGAAGTGATGGCGAGTGACGGAGAGAGATGGGGAGTGGCGGAAAGTGTGAAAAAAGGGTCGGGATGGAGGGGGGAGGAGGTGTGCAGGAAGATACGCGCGGGTTCGCTGCAGCACGCTCCGATGGAGAAAGAACCCTACATTGCTCGCGTTTGAAGAAGCGGCTGGAACGTTGCACAGCTTGCAGAGCGCGGAGAATGGGCTCCCAACCACGAGTTATCAAGTCCCATAGATTTCACGAGATTCCACAAGCTTCCATAAACTCACATAAACTCATGAGCTCCGCTCTATAAGCGGCTAACCGGAGGTGCACCTTCCTAAGCTGCCTTGGGACTCACCCGCAATCGATCCTTCAGCCCGACGGCCTTTTCCGTTACCGCGGCCATTCGTTTCTTCCCCGCCGTCATCCCGCCTGCCGCTCCTTTTGACGGAGTGCCAGAGCCGGCACCTTTGACGGTCCGGCGAGTGCCGGCCGACATTCGGCCGGTTTGCGGAGGAGGACCCGTGCTTGACGCCGCTGATGGCGGGTCTGACGACGGCCGACCGATGTCTGACAGCGCGGCACCATGGAACCACTGATCGTCCGCCATGGCTGCCAATTTATCGTTTTACTGACGCAATGATAGACGTCAAACAGCCGCAATGCTGGTGCTACGGTTTCGAGCAGCGTGATACCATTTAGTCTGATAATGGCCGAAACGTCGGACGATACTGTCTCTTAAACCTCCTATACCGATACGAAGGAAAATTCTTTCACACTGAACACGCTAGGCGATGGAAATTGGTGTGGATAGACGGCCTAGAACGGAAATACCACAATTCATATCGAAGTGCTACACGCATAATGAGAAGTCTCGTGTGTTCCTAATGGCTGCAAAAAGCTGTGTTCGAGCGATTCCAAGCAGCCATTATCATGCTGTTTCCGAGCATGACTTCATGCCACACAGCAAGATGTTCAAGCAGGCATGATGCGTCCCAGGCTGATCTGACAGCAGTCTTTGACACACCTGTTGGAAGAATCGAAGAGAAATCGAGGGAAGCGAAAAGGCAAGACAGCTGACAGTGGGAATGGAGGAGGTACTGTACCCGAAGAACATGACGACCAGGAAGGGCGGGGAAACTCGCAATTGGTTGGAATCGGCTAGAGCCGACAATCGGATGACAGCAGTTACCGTTTGGTTTACAAGCTACACCTCGTTCGCACACGAACGAGGATAGGCTCTAATTCTACTTGTTTTTACATTCGCGCCAGATCCACACGGATCAGCGACACCAAATTGCAGCTCTTCTGAAACGGGAAAACTCGTTACAATCTCACGTCGAATCATAGCCAGCTTCGTGGCAGTAGCAGAAGCATCCAGCTGTTGTGCCACGCTGGAACACTGCTCCAAACGAAGCATCGTCAGGCACTACCACCATCCTCTGCCCTAGGCCGTGGGCAGGCCTAATACAATTTCTTTATTGAACTGGAAGGAGGGAAACGCAATGGAAGCATATATATTGTTGCACAAATGAACATTTGCCCTCCTTTTTCCCCGCCTAGAAACCCACTTCTCTGTGCCACATATTCTTCACACCTGGACCTGAAGTCAGCCAATCTCGAGGTCCCCAGGCCCGAGCCTGCTCGCATCCTCACGCATCCCGTTAGCCTATAAATTTTCCTCACACTGCCATTGTGTTCAGGCTGCCTCATTTTTCCGTTTTCTGACACCTCCATAGTCCGTTGTTTCCGCTAGCACAGCATCACTCTGTCCAGGCAACCTTAGCGTCGAACACATTCACTTCACAATGGCGGCTACCGCCCTTCATACAGCTGCCTCTGTGGCGTCTCCGTGCCTATCTTACCAGGTCCGTTCGCCATTGTCACCTCTTTCGTGTTTCCCGTGTTCCGCACGACCGCGGCAGTTATCGCATGCTTGTTACCAAAGGTTACCAGGAAATCTCAGCAATTTCAGAAATCTGAGCAAGATTTTTTCTGTTATGTTGGTTCCTTTTCAGGCGGAGACCACGTCACAAGCAGCGCGATCAGCAGTGCCAGGTACGCACGTTCACGAGTCGAAGGGTGAAACAATAAACCGTCGGCATGATGTATGATCGCATTTGTGATGTGATCCGTGTCTGAATAGCCTTGTCTCTACTTCCTTTCCTCGTCTTTTTAATTGCTATCACTTGATTTCCTCCTAAACGAATCAATGTTTTGATTCCACTCACAACATTAACAGTAGCACTTTTTCCTCTCTAAACGAATCCATGTTCTTACTGGTAGTGTATCCTCCCTCTCATCCCTTCCACGTCCCGCTTCCCGCTCTTCATCCGACCCTTTCCCCCCGCACCCACCACTATCGCGTCACCTCCAGCTCTCCCGCTCAGGAGCCTGTCGTCTTCCCTCTCCCAGTCCTCCGCCTTCCGCCAAGCCTGCGCGCGAACCTCGGCCTCGCGAGCCAGCAGTCTCGGCGCGAGCCGCCGGGGAGGCGTGGCGGTGCGCTCCATGGCGTCCGAGGGCGGGTCCGGCGGCGGCGGAGGCGGAGTGGACATCTGGGTTGGGCGGCTGGCGATGATGGGCTTCGTGGGAGCTCTGGTGATGGAGGTGGCTACTGGCAAGGGGCTGCTCGAGGTGAGCAAGGGGTTGTTAGTTAGTTGTGCGTTGTGCGAATGGGTGTCGTGTTTCGCAAATTTCGAGGAGGCTTGAAGTGTCGCGCTGGCAACGTTGGGTTTTGGCGGGACTCTGGTGGTGGAGGTGGCCATTGGCAAGGGGCTGCTCGAGGTGATTGAGGGGTTGCTTGAAATGAGTGTAATAAATGGATGAACACTTCAAATGTGACAGATGTGGGTGACGGGCGACACAGACAGGCAATGCATCTGAGCCCTTCTGCAAAAGCGGGCTAAAAGATGCCGTAAGAGTTCCTGTGGGAAATGTAGATATCAAACTCACACGCATGATCATGAGATATTTCTTCTAAACCGCAGATCTCATTATGTGCCCCTTTCCTCATCTCCCCTGCTCTCATCACGTCCCTTTTTGGTATCGACCCCCTTCTCTCTCTACTCTCTGTTCCATTTATAACTCGCCCATTTCTCACCGCTCTTCATTTCACCTCTCCCACCACTTGACTGGAGTTTTAGGCAGCTGCCTGCCTTGGCGCTGGTAATTGTGGCTGCCATGGTGGTATTTACTGCCTTCAGCTCTCGCTTTTCACCTCGCTCCAATCTCATTCCTCCCCAATTCGCCCGCCCAGCTGATTGGAGTGCCCACGCCTCTGCCGGCCCTGGCGCTGGTGATTGTGGCTGCAACGGGTGCACTGACTGCCTTTGGTGTCTTCCGCTCCTCCCAAGACTAGAAGCCTCAATATAAGCCACTGCTTGGCATCTACTACCGTATTCCTCCCAAAATCAACAACACCCTTCGCATGAGACGTCAAATGTGTGATGTCATGCCTTTTTGTAAATTTGCCAGTTGCACCATGTAAAACCTGCTTTGTTCCATAAGGTGATCCTGACATGAGTACGGTACATAACAACTGACTCAGATATGAACTCTTGCCATAACACACTTCTCAGCCATGCTAAGTACTCCCCAACACTTAAGCAGCATCTAAAATATGTCAGTGATACTGGCTTACAAACAATGACACAACATATCATACACATGCACAAGCAAACCGACAAACCAAGAAATTCATAATTGATTACACCCACATTGCCCACCATTCCTCAGCTGGTGAGTAGCCAGCTGGGCGTCTCACACCATGAAGAAATGGTGTGCCACCCGGGTACCAAATTCTCACTTTACATGTTTAGAAAATGGAACAGAATGGAGGGATGGTGTTCTGTGCAGCATTGGTCATACAGTAGGCGTTGCTGATGCTGCAAGTGAAGTGTAGTGTTACACCACAAAGTTGTCAATCACATGCTGAATCACACTGGCTCCATGCGCCTTGAGTGTTGGAATGTTCACCTGGAGGCCATTGGGTAGAGGGGTTGTCCAGTGGCATAACATGGGCTTACAATCACATCACATGCTGTGCTTCACTCGCCTCCAGGTGAACAAAACCTTGAGCTTCGTCAAACAGCATGCAATTGAAATGCACTCATCAGATGACAAACAATGAGTCATCCTGTGGGCAGCAGACACACAACTCCAATGTAACTATTTTCAAAGGAGAAGCAGTCGGATGAGAATGAAGAGAGAGCGGGGAAGGAATACCTGAATGAGGATGTGAGCCAGGAAGGCAAGTGGTGACGATGCAAAGTTGACATCGATGCGAGCCCACGGGACACGGTTGAGATTGTCCACCATGGCGTCTGGAGGGCAGGAGGGGCATAGGGGCGTGAGAGGGACGCATGAGTTGCATGCAAAAGGGGGCATGATATACCTCTGAAAACATTGAGCCCACGGGACACGGTTGAGATTGTCCACCATGGCGTCTGTGGGGCAGGAGGGGCACGAGGGGCGTGAGAGGGACGCATGAGTTGTATGCCAAGGGAGCATGATTTATTTATAAAGCACATTGCTCCCATTGGACACGGTTGAGTTGAAATTGTCCACTGTGGCATCTGAGGGGCGGGAGAGCAGGGATATGTGTGAGATGGATTCTCAGAGGGGGAAACCTGACCGGTGCAGAAGAGAAAAAAGTGGCACAGATGGTTGGTGGCTGAGCAAGTCAAACCAAGGGAGATGTGGATGTGAAGAGGCGGCTTTGTACTCGACAATCAACGGAGACGTGGAGAGGAAACCCACCTTCCCACTGCATTTGAATGCTATGCTTCTTTGGTGCTATCCCTGCAGTACGTGGCAGCATGGCAGCACCAGCACCACCAGCACCACCAGCAGCGGCAGCAGCAGCAGCAGCAGCAGGACCACCAATAGATGCTCTCCTCGCCTTATTCTCCTCGCCACACCATCCCTCATCGCTCCCATGCCCAATGTCGTTCTTCATCGCCCCTTGTCCAGTTCTGCTGTTGCCACTACCTTCCCCACTGCTGCCCCCACTCCCGCTGCCCCTGCCACTTGCACCCCTGGGAACCATACCCTCACTCATGCTACGCACCAGCTGCAACCGCCCCTCCTCACCCTCCTCAGGTGGACCCTCAGGTGGATCATCAGGTGATTTTTTATTGTTCTCAAAGGCCTGCTCTCCTTCCTCACCCTGTTCGGTATGCCCCTTCTCTTTCAGCTTCAGTGGCTGCTGTTTGAATGGCAGGAACTGCTGCTGCGGGGAACCGAACCCAAAGCCAAGTCCGAAGCCGGGAGTTGCTGCTGTTCCCCCCCCCACTTTCCACCTTCCCTTCAGGCGCGCAAAGAAATTGGTGTGCTCTTTGGGCTCTGGGGCGTCACCTGCTGCAGGTCCATCAGACGGACCACCTGAAGGAGCACCTGACGGACCACCTGAAGGAGCACCTGACGGACCACCTGAAGGAGCACCTGGAGGAGCACCTGAAGCTTCGCTCGTGGCATTCCCTGTCACGAAATTGGAAGCTTCAACTGCAAAAGCACCTGAGGTGTCCCCACGTGCAGCAGCAACAGCAGCAGCAGCTGCAGCACTGGCATGTGAAGAAGCATCACAAGCAGCCAAGTGCAGAGACGATGTGTTGGCATGGCATCCTTTCTCCTCTCCTCCCACACCCGTGTCAGGAGGACATCCTGGGGCCCTTGGCTCTGGCGCCCTTGGTTCGGGTTGCGCTACTGGAGTGTCTGATTGGCACGGCATGGGCTGTACTCTCACAATGAAGCGATAGTCTGGCAACTCGTGAAGCTCGTCAGGCTGGAGGGTGTGGTGGACGGCCAGAAAAAGGGGGAAGAAGAAGGGAAAATCGAAAGAAACTGGGGTTCAGAAATTTGCTTGAAGGAGGAGTTAATAAGTTGGCAGGACACAAAAAAAGAGGAGAAAAGAAGTGGGGTTACAGAGGTGGGGTTACAGAGGTCTCAAATGGAGACGAAAATATAAAGAAGATGAGGTTGCGTAGAGGGGATGTGGAATGCCCAGGGAAGAGCAGGTGATTTTTTAGGCGCCTAAAAAATTGGAGACGGAAAACTAAGAAAAAGAGGCTGGGTAGAAGGCAGGTGGAATGCCCGGGGAAGAGCACGTGGCTGAACCTAAAAGACAGGAACGAAGATTGACATATGGAAGGCGCACTAACACAGAAATGTGAAATCACAAAGCAGGGGGGAAGAACACACTTATGGCTTGTTGTGAGTCAACTCAATAGGCAGGCTAAAGTGGCAAGAGCAAGAAGGAGAGACGAACCCACCAATGGCATCTCCCACTGGTGACGGATCGAGGCTGTTCGCCAGCCAACCATTTCTGCATGCGAGGATGGACGCAAGGGGAGGGGTGAAGAGCGGTAAGGTAAGAGAGAAGTGGGCGAAAAGGTGATACAGTGCAAAGAAAAACAAGAGGTAGCAAAGAGGGTGAATCTGGACAACAAATGGGATAAGGCGATGACAGGAAAGCTACAGCGGTGAATCCGACGCAGCAAAAGGAATGCAGCGAGTGCTTACGATCCCCCAAGACATTGGCGTATGCAGCTCTGTACTTGAATGCAGCGAGAGCAGACCTGAGGGGGTGAAAAGGGGGAAGGGGGAAGAGGGGAACACAAAGGCGCACGGAACCGATGGGAAACGGAAGGCGCAGTAATGCGCTTGTGATTCTTGGGAATGAAGGCCAACGTTTGGCTCGAAAACTTCTTTTTGGCCAACGTTTGGCTCGAAAACATCTTTTTGGCCAACGTTTGGCTCGAAAACATCTTTTTGGCCAACGTTTGGCTCGAAAACATCTTTTTGGCCAACGTTTGGCTCGAAAACATATTTTTGGCCAACGTTTGGCTCGAAAACATCTTTTTGGCCAATGTTTGGCTCGAAAACATATTTTTGGCCAACGTTTCGACTCTTGGAAGCGATGGCCTGACCAAGTGCAGCTTGGTGCTTCACCTAACCTAGGCATCCACCAATGTTAGATGAAGCAGAGGGAAAGGTTCCAGATAGGAGAGTCTGGATGAGTCAGCCTTTTATTTTTTAAGCGCCATACAGTTTGCTTCAATTCAGTGGACAGGCAGATGAGCCAATAGCTGCCAGAAAAACAAAAGGACAGGGAGCAGCCGAAACCGAACAAACGTACAAGAAGGGGCCTTCCTCGTTGTCTGTAGTCATGCGAAGTAGCAGAGGCAGCTGGTGTTTCTCCTTGCGACTCCCAACCCCTGTCTCTGGTGTCTCCTCTGAATGGCCTTCTGCTGCTGCCACCCTTGTCACGTCAATCAGGCTGCTTCCCAGCCGATGCAACCGCACCATCCCATGCGGCTGCTGCTGCTTTTTTTCCTTCACAGTTGCATGGCCCAAATTGGACTCAGCACCCACAGCAAGAGCTTCGGCAGCTGGCTGAGCAGAAAGTTCAGCAAAGGGATGACCAGCATCAACGGAGGAGGAAAGAGTCGTGTTGGTGTTGAGAGGTAAATATTTACCAGACTTGGCATTTAAAGGGTCGACACGGCCCGTAGAAGGATTAACCTTCGCAGCGTCTACATGAATATCGCCAGCCACAGCAGCACCCAGGGCATCACTGAGAGGATCAACACCAGCCGTGCTTGGTTGACGACCAGCACTGGTGGTATCAATCCGAGCGTTGGTGCCGGTGGTTTCACTTTGCGGTTCTGTGCCGCCAGTAGAGTCAACGCGAGGGTCAGCATCCGCGGTGCTGATTTGCGGGTTGACATTACTGGGATGAATTCGAGGTCCGACGTCGGTTGTTTCGACGGGAGGGTCGACGTCGGTTGTTTTGACAGGCGGGTCGACGTCGGTGAGGAAGAGGTGGCGAGCGGAGCGGCCGAGGAAGAGCGGTGCGAGTGGCACGGACGCCTTCTCAAAGAGACTCACCTTGAGAAGAAAGGGCAACTGGACATGTGGGATGGGGGGATGGGTGGATGGGGGATGGGTGGATGGGTGGATGGGTGGATGGACGGGCAAAAGGCAGGATGGGATGGGGGGGTTGAACAGGGGGGATGGAGAGGAAGAGAGGAGGGAGCGGGATGGGCGCCCTCGACTCACCTCAGGCAGAAAGGGCAGCTGGGAAAAAGAAAAGAAGTAGAAAAACATGACAAAAAAAAAAAAAAAACTTTTCAGCAGCATTATTTTCACTTCCACCCGTGCCATGCACCTGCCCGAGAACAAATTAGACTATCTGATCATTCCTGCTACTGACATTCAACCAGCCATGCTCTGTGTGACCCAGACAGACCTCCACCTTTCTCTTCTCAAGCCTACAAGCTGCCTAAACACTAGACATGCGGACACGCGACAGGAAGGAAGCCTGGTGAGCTTACATGCCCTTTTCCACGCGAGCCCAGGTGTGGCGAAGCGAGTGTGACAAAGTTCATCGGCTCCAGTCCTGCTATGCGCGGGCCCTGGTACGACCCTCCCCCTTCCTCGTCGTCCTTCTCCTCCTCCACTTCTTCTCCTTCCTCCTCCTCTTCCACGTCCTCCTCCTCTCCCCCCTGCACATTGCAACATCCATCAATGTTTCTGCTTGTTGACTCTCTCGTTCGTTCACCTTCACTCTCTGCTGCTGCAAAGTCCCTCTCCCTTTCCCCCACCCTGCCACCTTCTTCAGGAATGCCATGCTCCTTCCCCTGCCCCTGGCTCTGCCTCTCCCCATTCTGCTGCTGCTCCTCCTCCGCATCTAGACGCAGCATGGGAGGGAAACCCAAATCCGCCAGCTGTGACTGCTCCTCCTGCCTCCGCAGAACATCCAGAACCGATACGCTTGGTGATTTCGGCATGAGATGGCGCGGCAGGGAAGATGCATCGGAGGGTAGCGACGAGGTGGAGGCGCATGTGGGGAAGGTGTTATCTGGTGAGTGCTCCTCTGGCGGAGGTGTACGTGAGGAGCTCGAGTAACAGTTTTTTTCTGATTGAGCCTGTTGGCTCGCTTGCCCGTGCAAGTGGTCACCTGAGTGGTTGCTGTCGGAAGGGTTGCTTACATAAGGGACACTTGTGCTCTCGCGTGAGGGAGGCTCATGTGGGGAAGGCTCATGTGAGGGACGCTCACGTGAGGCAGGCTCGTTTGAGGAAGGTTCACGTGATGCAGGCTCATTTGAGGGACGTTCGTCTGACGCAGGAGGGCAAGCGGGTTGGTACATCTGAGCAATGGCGTAGCGGGACAGGACGCCGCCCAGCGAGTGAGCAATGAAGGAGATCCGCCGCAGCTGAGGGTTCCTGTGAATCACTTGGCTCACCTGGGAGAGGCCGAAAAGGGAGAGGGGGGGTGGGGTGGGGTGGGGAAAAGCGGGAGAGGGGGGAACGGTAAGCAGCTACATTGTGAATGCATTGCAAGGGTTGACTTTTGAGTCGACTCAAAAGTCAACTCGGAACGGTAAGCAGCTACATTGTGAATGCATTGCAAGGACCTAGAGTGAAAGGATGGGTTAAGCCGGATGAAGAAACGGTCATAGTGAGAAGAGCAGACAGCAGATGGAAATGCAGAATAGTATGATTTGTATAATCATGCATTTGAAAGTCCTGATAAAATGTAGTTTCCGGATATGGGCTCATTCAGAGCTGACCTCGTCTGCAAGGCGGTTGCCGACAACATCAACACCGTCCACTGTTCGCCTCAGTGACTCGCAGCCTGGCACGGCATGGATAGATGGTGTGGTAGAATGGCAAGGTCACATGGACTGGTGATATGGCACGGTTGGATATGGCTGGTTACATGGCATGGCTAAACGCCATGACATGAAACGGTATGGCACAGCATGAGATTGTGTATCCTAGCCGTGATGAGACAGGTCATGGCATGGCATGTGATAGCACGGCATAACATAACACAGTGACATACCCACGAATATTCACAGTTCTTTTATGCAGCATAAAGGGGGAAAACACGACAAACAAGAAAAAGGGAGAAAGAAAGAAAGTAAAAAAGGCTTTCTGGTATTATCACAACCTATCCTCCGTCCACCATTTAGCCTGGCAATGAACCGAAACGTACTGTGCACGAGTAGGTTCGGATCCCCATGCGCCTCCAGTTGTGCTTTGGTGTACGTCCAATTCATGGGACTGCGTACACGTCAATCCACGGCAGGCAAAAGGGGTGGGGGGTAGTAGCGAGACGGATGTGTCTGAACAAAGTGCCTTGGTGTAGGTCCAATCCGATTCATGGGACTGCGCGAATGACAGTCCACGGCAGGCAGGGATCAGACGTGGTCGGACTGGTGAGTCTGGCACCAAGTCATTTCGACTTCAAAGGTCGTCGTGATGGGGACTGGGTGAGAACTGGACTGACAAACTCAAACGGAGAAGTAGTCGGACCTTCAAACTCCTTGATCCCGGACAACACGCAAACCACTTTGTAACGGATTCGCAACAGTCTGTTCAAAGGACTACAAACCACTTCCCCTTGAAAAGGAAATTCTTCCAGCCAACTCTCAAGTCTTTCATACATTCCGGTGCTTCCATCATGCCTTCCGGTTCCAGACCTTCTACGCATTTCGGAACATCCGTACCTTCCGGCCACGCCGTTAACGAGAACGACCAGGTGATCCTTCACTGCAGTCTTCCTATCGACCGCTTCTCGCTTTCTCTCGCTCTCCTTCCTTCCTTTGGCTGCCTTGGTTCCCTTCGTTCTTTTCGACGCTTTCGCCGTGCGATGGGCCCACGCGAAAGCCGTGTTACTACCACTTCCCTTCGCCTCGGATGCACCATTTTGTGGCGGCGAGACGATCCTCGCTTCAGCTCTTGTTCCAGGCAGTGCAGCAGTCATGGCTGCCATAAAATCAAAGACTTTCGTCGCTATCCGTTCGCTAATAGCAAAGAAATCAAGCCAGCTCGTGCACGAGATGCATATTTCTTGCTCGTGGATGCTTGTCACTCAAGGGGGAACACATGGAGTAACATTCGGGACCTGCAGGTCTCTCCTCTCTAGGATTCCCCTCCTCCCCAGCTCCCACTCTTGGGAATCTCCTCATGAGTACAGGAGGAATCGGGATTTGGAAATGCGGCAGCAAGCAGCAGCTGCGGTGGCGGGACGGTGCCCCGTCCTGAACGAACTTGGGTGATTCGCCATGTGATGATGACACCGCAGCAACAGTGGCGGTGCCTCGATAACTTCACTCTGCAATGAGGGTGTACGAAATCGAAATGCAAACACAATAACAGATATGCCTTTTCAAAAATTGCCAAAAAAAAATCACCTAAATCTACTTTTTACCATAACTGGATCCTCTGCGTCTAGAAAGCAATGCATTAACCATTTTTCGTTTGCATTTACGGTTTATTTGAACCAGGGGTTTACCAACCAACCACCAATTCCTGTAACTCCCATACGGTACCTGCCATGTGATGGTTTTACTGCCTTCTACATACCAGGCAGACTAGTTCCGTTATATTGGCTATATTTCGCCAACTTGAACAACCTTAGTGAAGCTTACATGCATTGCATACAACTGCAATTCTTTGTGCCTGTAGTTAGCATTCTTATTTCAAGAATGCTACATCCTAGCTGCCCCGTCATTACACATCATCCCCGAAGGTGTGAGATACCGTATAACATATACAACAAACAAGAGGTGCATGCTTCTACGTGATAAGGACTACGTGAGACTGCTCCTGCACTTCGTATCCTTGTCCACATCAAAGCCTCACTAATCTGCAGTGTGTTAACTGCAGGGATCACATAAGGAGTGGTCACTGGAATGGCCTTGACTATGACCAAGAGGGCACCACTGCTGGTGACGCAGTCAGTGCCGTATTTGAAGAAGTGTTGCTTCAATTCACTGCTTCTGGATATGTGCACTGGCCCAGGGCTCTTTTTGTCAGTGTGCTCTGCCAAATAAGATTGATACGAGTCACTAAGATCCACACGGTTCAAACTGATGGTGAATTGGGCAAGTAGCATGACAGCAGAAGATCTGACAGAGGCGAGCAACCCTTTTTTGTTTGTCTTTGAGGAATATCAGGAACTTTGCATGCTGTCCACTGTAAGAGGTTGATCTCACGGTTGTATTGACATCTCACTTGCTGTGGTCTCTGGCATGTTATGATTGCTTGTGCTGTGATTTCTCACCTGTTGTAGTTGTTGTTGTGATCTCATGCTTGCTGTGATCTCTGTTGCTGCGACCTCTCTCTTGCTGTAATCGTTGGAGTGCTGCAATTTCTCACGTGCTGTGATATCTATCTTGATGTGATCTCTCTGTTGCTGCGACCTCTCTCTTGCTGTAATCGTTCAATTGCTGCAATCTCTCACGTGCTGTGGTCTCTCACTTGCTGTGATCTCTCGCTTGCTGTGATTCCTCGCTTGCTGTGTCTCTCGCTTGCTGTGAACTCTCGTTTGTCCTCTCGAGTCCTTGGTGTCTCAGTTTGTTGGTCATTAGAAGGGGATAGTGGACACACAATGGCCTACCTCTCGCGCCGTTGGTCGTTCCTCTCCATTCTTTCAGAACGCAATCATGCTGGTATTAGCTGCGTTCGGGTAGCCATCAAAATCGTCTCCGTGGGTCGACGGAGACGTGGGCAAGGGCCCTTGGCGACTCGGATCATCACCCAAGTGGAAAGATTGAACTCAGTAGTCGCGGTGGTGAAAAGGGCTACTTTCATGCGACTTCTGGGCTTCTTGATTTATCTCTCAACTATCACAACTATGCACGAACGAGACGCGCGCGCAGCAGACCTCGTAGCATGTTGTTTCTGACGCGAGATGATCCAACTCGTTTGTCGACGCGCCACATGCTGGTAGCTTCCGCATGCTAGAATGGTGGTGAAATTTTCACGCAGCATGATGAGCACAACTGAGTCATCAGGACAAGAGGGAGTTAGTCAACGCGGCAGCGGCGGCTTGGCGGCTTGATAGAGTTCTCGCCGCTTCAGCAGCAACTTTGGCGCCTAGAGAACTGCAAAAGCGAATCGCCATCAGCTACTACCCACTGCAGCGACGCAAGCTTGCAGGTCTACGTTCGAATCCCCATTGCCGGAAATCCCTGCTGTTGGGAATTTGATATCCTTGCAACGCGGAAGCGTTAATGCCGCTTGAATAGTTCGGTTCAATTGCGTGGAAAAAAGGAGTATGCTTACCAAATGTGAAGGAATAAAACATTACCAATTTCGGCCAGCACGGATACCCTCAGGAAGTACACTAAAACATGAGCCACATTGTATGCGAAAAAGGTAAGGTTGCAAGAGAAACCGACGGCCGTTCGCCAACCCAGAGGCCCGTTCAAGCGTTGCGTGATACGAGCACTACGAGCAACCAACTACTCACCCGTGCTACTACGAGTTCCCGCTAGGCACTAGCTGTAAGCGGATGACGACCCATAGCCGTTAAAACTTACAAGCAGAGCATGCTTGGAATGTGGAGCACGCCCGGAGGTGTCTGGTCTGGATGATCAATGTACAAAGCAAAGCAAACTTGGCATCGATTTCTTGAGTTGTGAGAGAAGGAAATTTGGGGTGAGCAAGCAGATGCAGCACATTTGTTGGAAGACGACCCGGAATGTCCCGAATTCCTCTACCTACCAATTTTCCTGACGGAACTGGGCTGATGTGGAAGGCCAGAGGGAGGAAATTCCTCTTCGGGCTCATTCCAAGCCAGCCTTGACCCAGGTTCGCGATCAGGTCAACCATTTTGCACCAGCTTTGGGACTTCGGCGAGGTACTCGATGGTTACCCGCCAATATCCACTAACCACAAAAAGGACTGACGTGGATGGCCTCCTCGTCAGCATCGCCACCTGGCGTCATATGTATTAACAAGCGGTTCGAGTGTCCAGGCAAGCTTAATGGCTGGA